CAAAAAAAAAAAAAAAAAAAAGAATTTGAGAAATCAATTTGATTAAATGCATGGAGGTCGTTGAGGTAATATTCGAATTATGGTTAAAAAATCTATCTCAGTATTTATCACAGCAAAAAAAAAAACAACATATCTTACAATTACCAGTTCTCAAAAACAATGAAAAATGAACCTTTTGTACGACAAGATTGATGTTTTCCAGTGCAAATGCTTCGCCACTTTGCTCGTTCGCAACAACCGGGCTTCGTTCACTGGTCTCGCCAGCGCTGCTTGTCAGTTCCTGACCTTACCATATCCTTCATAATCAGTCCTCATCTTCCAAAACAAATTAACAAACGCCGACTAATGGACCGGAACGTCTTATCTCTCTCTTACCTCCTCTTTTCTCATACTATTCTTTCATGCTGTAATCTATTGCGCCTGCGCCATCTCTGGCTTCCAGGGTTAACTTGGATGCTACAATCGACCGGCACACTACTTTCGAATTTATGCAAAACTGCCTTATTTTTTTCTTAATTTTACAAAACTTTTTATAAAATTGTGACAATTTTACAAATTTTAAGTGCGACGAATTTTACGAAAGTGTAACGAAATGGCAGAAACGCGGCCCATCTTCTTCATTTTTGCTGTATTCACAAACTTCTATGTCTGGATGATAAACAAAGGCACAGAAAAGGACTGGAAACCCTCTTTTGCGCTATCCAGGGTCTATCGAAGTGCATCGTATTGTGTCCGTTTCAATATCCCAGTAAAAAGATGCGCAAAAAAATGATAAATTCTGATTAAATCGAGAAAATCGCAAAAAATCTCTACCTTTTTCATCCCAAAGAAAAGTGGCATTTTTGAAGTGTATTGCAATATTTGCATCCTTGCAAACAGGAATTTGCTGGTCATATTCCGGCAGAAGGAATATCTCCTGTATTCTACGCAATGCAACAAGTGCTTCTGCACAATAACGTGTTCCGTACGGGATCATTCGGATGCCAAAAATCATCACAAAAAACACCGTGATCGCGCTGAATGCCTAAAATACCAAAAAACAAAGATTTTAAGATAAAAAATTCAAAAATTCGCTGAATTACGAAAATTAATAATTTTCCAAAACTGACATAAAACCACTTCAGTCAAATCAAACACTGTGAATTTGCCTGTTGCATCGGATGCGCAGTAACGGACTGGGAACGAAATATCTGGCAAAAACAACTAATTTAGGCCAAAAAGCAACAAATTCGTTTCTGAGAATTAAACCAAAACTTACATCGCTTGCTAATAAATCCCCACCGGATAGAATCAATCCAAGAAATGTGAAAACAGCTGCGACAACAGGAACAACAGGAGCACAAGCGATTGCAAGACTCTGAGCAAGACCCGCCGCGCGTAAATCCACTTTCTCGTTATGACGCATTTCT